AATCACAAAAAAGGTTTAGAGGCTTTTTTTAAATGAATAAACAAAATGATTTTTGATGAGAACAAATAAAATGACAGCTAAGCGACACCTCAAGGTCTACAATTTTACTTATTACAATTTCTTAAATTGTTATGAAAGCAATTATTATTAAAATAAAATATCTATTTTTACTTTAAAAGTTCTAACCACAAAGTTACCTGGGTTTAACTAACTGTTACTTTAACTTTCTGAGGTTGGAACTGGAGATTCATTGTCACTTAAAAAACTGCATCTATAGTCTGGAACGACGACCAGGGACAAACAAAATTGAGGTTGAAGTTGGCACTGGACGCAAACCTTGAAAACTCGCCTCGTTAAAAACTCAACAATGGAACATGGTATTTTTTAAAGATGTTGTAAACACTGTTTTACAAATATCTCAGATAAGAGACGACATAAAAGAAAACCGGTGATTACTCTTATCTGTACTGACACATTACTTTGAGTATAAATCACTTTTTTTAACAAATTTGCCGTTTTTTTTTCGACTATTGACTAAACTTAACACGTCTGTTTTAAATGGCCAATATTTTAAAACCCCCTTTACTTCGACCTTTCTAATCGTACGGACATCTAGTTTTGCCACACTCTTCCTCTCTAAACCGTCCACACAAGGAAACAACCTAAAGTTCTTGTCAAACACGCTTCTCATTGTATCTTAAAATGACATTGAATTATTACCAGCCTTTAAAATTGTAGAACTAACATGTACAAATAAATAAAACCATATTTAACGTCGCAATTATAACTGTAACTTGGAACGTGGGGTATAATCACAGAGACTTGGCAATATTTTATACTTGGCTCATGGACGGTAGATAAAATTTTTATTACTTGAATATTCGATAGTTAAAAAATGTTCTGCATGCTACAAAGTAAACAAAATTTAAATTTTTATTTTAGTGTCTCACCTATATTATTCACTATCCTTACCTCTGGTTATCGTTAATTTTTATTATCGTGTACTAATTTTTGTACTACATTATTTTTATCATTATCTAGTTTTTGTTTATATTATTATGTATGTTAAGAATTCTGTTTTAGTTCTTTTAAAATAGAAATTCATTACTGAATTGTATTTGTATTTTTTGTTGCTTTACTGATTAACATGGTCTACATTTATAGCTGTTTTAAACATAAATACACTTATTATATATTTTTCTTAATAAACAACTATGATCACTATGAAACCTACTAAATTAAAATCGTGATGCCAAAAACTGTTCTACTAAAGGTTTGAATGAGTTATTCGCAAATACAAAATACAAATGTAGTGTATATATATACAAATAAATATAGTTGCGAATGATTACAAACTTATATCCTGGTTTTTTAATCTAGACAATTTTAACTTTACTTTAAAATCTCTTTTGTTAGCTCAAAATTGGTTGAAACTAATGGAACTTATATCAAAAGATAACTTCTAAAGATAATATGAAGATGTTTATATTTACGGAAAATCTAAAACGGCGGTTTTATGATGTTGCTAATGACAAACGTTACATATATCTATCAAGAGTACATCGTTTGAGTTTAATGAATATTCCAAGTATTTTGATAACTAGAATTCAAATTTTCAGAATAATCTGACGATTCATTAGTTCGAAAAGTAAAGAATATCTTGTTAATTTAAGAATGTCAAAATATAAAAGGTATCAGTAAAAATGGAACTAGATATGAGAGAATATATCTTGTTTTAAAGTGCTAAGAAATAAGCTATATAATTTTTTTATCGTGTGGCATACAACAAGAACATATAATTTAAAAATCAATATAAAACGTTACATAAAGTATTTCAAACTAGCATTTAATACATTATTAATATAATATAAAACATGTATGGTCGCATTCAAGAACTTATCGAAAACTACAAGGAATCGCCTTCGGGGACATTCTTCAACAATATGATAGACAGTCTATCGTTGCACACCACAGTCACACCCAGGAATAAAGGCTTTTTTCATCTATCTTCTTCTTCAAGTTCCACTCCTATCGGAGATTGGAAATCATTCTGGCAATTATAATTTTATTGGTTACTCGCCTGAATAGTTCAATTGAACTGCATCCAAACCATCCACAGAGATTGCGTAGTCACGAGATTTTACGTCTTAGTAATATGTTGCATTATATTCCTTAGTAGTTTGTACTTTTCACCTCTCATGATGTGCCCCAAGCATTCCAATTTCCTGATTTTTATGGAATTTAAAACTTCGCATTGTTTTTCTAGTTGTTCGAGAACTTGTTCGTTTTTTTTGCGATCTATCAATGATATTTTCAAAATACGTCAGTAACACCACATTTCGAATGCTTCTAGGTTTTTAATGTTGGATATTTTAAGTGTTCAAGCTTAAACTTCATCTATTTTCATCTATATAAACTGTCAATGCACCTACCGCTGCTTGTTCTTATTCTGTTTAACATTGTCCATGTTTTTCGGATCGGTCCAAAGCCTGGCGGTTTCTGATCGATAGAGACCATCTAGTTTGCTTCCTGTGGTAAGTCGCTCTCCTATTGTCTTATCCAAGTTATGGTTAGGTTAAAATGTTCCTGATGTAAGGGGTTCTTAACTACGGAGGAGAATCTCGGTAAACAGAGCCCAGAGAACAATTCTCTGAAGAAGAAGAGAATGGAATAACTTCTTTGCAGTTTCTGCGGTGTAATGTGACTCAGAATGGAGAGCCAATAGTTCGGTGTTGATCCAATTATACCTTAGATTATTCGCATTGTCTGGTTTAATTGGGTGTTAATCATTTTCATATGTTTGTTTTTGATCGATACCGGGAAAGCATATTTACCCGCTGAGTGTACAAGTCCGAGTGCGAAAGAGCTGAATACAGAGGCTAAGGATCCCCATGTGTTACCATATAGCTTTTGGACTATAATATTCTTATATTGTTATTTTTAGATGTTCTTTAAAACTTAATGTTCTGTCCAAAGTCACTCCAAGATATTTTGTGTCAAACAGTCTATGATCAAAGTGAACGAACAGTTTTTTGTTGGCTTCAGCATTATTCAGATGATAAGAGCACACTTCGGTTTTCGTTGCATTGGGTCGTAGCCTTAATTTGCGAACATATTCTCTTATAACTACAAGGTCATTCGTTAGTATTGTTTCTGTAATATCCATGTTATTATGTCTTTCTACAATGGCTCAATCGTCAGCGTAGCCAAATTTTTGCGAAGTTGTCCCAGGTAGATCCGCAATGTATAAATTAAACAGTGTAGATGCCAAAACAGACCTCTGTGTCATTGTTTCAGTCCATTGCTAAGCTGCATTTAAAAATGCTAGATTCATTTATATCATCGTCCTCACTCTTACACATATGCGCATCCACCAAAATATGTTGTATAACTGGTTGAGTTGACTGGTATCGTTAATAGGACTCCAATGTCCATATTTCGATCAAGGATCTGTAATCTGTATGTTTCAGTAAAGTGAAATCCTGTAACATCGACCTCGTGTCATCAAATATACAAAATTTAAGATTTCCAATCTTTAATCTAAGGATGAATGGATGTATAACACATTAAAACTGAAAAGCAAAAAACTCAAAAGCAAGAAAATCTTATCGTGGACGACGATCAAATATGTGAAAGTTGGAAAGAAAATTTCGAAGAGCTGCTAAATGGCGCAATGAGTAGGGAAGAAAATGATAATGTTCCTAAAACCCAAATAGTAGTAGAAAAAATACCAAAGCCCACAAAAGAAGAAATTAAAGAAATAATAGATATCAAAAATAAAAGAAGCCCTGGTGAGAGCGGCATTGTGGCAGAGAACTAAAAATATGTAGGAAGGGATTTACGAAACCAACTTCACCAGCTCATAGTAGAAGTGTGGGATGCCGAAGAAATGTCTCAAGGATGACACAAATCTATTATAAATTTTATACACAAAAAGCGAGATACTGAAGAAAACTGAATGTGCAATGTATAGAGAAATATCATTGTTAGAGATAACATACCAAGTGCTCGCCATATAAGTTAAAAAAACAATTAAAAATATATGTGAAGAAGAATCTAGGAGAATGCCAGGAACTATGTTGTACGGGAAGATTAATAATCGGTCAAATTTTTGTGCTAAAGCAAATCCACATCAATTGCTATGAATACACCATTTTGTCACAAGTACTTTTCGTTGAGTCAAAGCCACCTGGGTTACAATTAATAAAAACAAATTAATAGAAAGGCTAAAAGAATTTCAAGTGCCAGAAAGAATAGTAAAATTGTTAATAACGACAATAGAAAAACCATATATGCTGAGAAACGCAACGGTACAATCTCTTGCAAGTACAAAAAAAGTCTTATTCGAAAAAGGTCTAAAGTTCGACTAAACTAGTAAATCCAAACACCAGGAGCTCCTTTAAATTAAAGGTGAAATGTGAATCAGTTGTAGAATTCGAGAAGGTGGCTAAATAAATAATGTACTTAGTGTACTTAGGTGTATAGGTACCTTTACTGATCAGATGTGTAAGGAAGAAACTAAAATCAACCTGAGGCTGACCAAGAGCAACATATGTGCTGCGCTCATAAACAAAATAATTAAGGTTATACGGAAATACGAATTCCGAAGAGGAAATTGAAACGTCAATAAACGTATTTTTATCTTTAATTGTGGCTTATTTCCAGTTAAATAGTAATTAATACAATTAAGATGTTAAAAGTTTTTTTACTTCATTGTATGTTTTTTTAATACAAAGGTATTGTAAACGTAATCTAAATTAAAATAAAACTTAAAAAAAAATTAAAATTCACGTCCTAAATACCTCATCTCTTTTTCTAGATATATTTTTTTCTGAAAATTTTGCATTTTAACTTACAATATACGTGGAAATTTTTACTATTCAACAAAACTGAAACATATTAAGGCAACTTACATTCTTCACTTCTATTCTCAATATATTATCAGTTTCTAGTATTGGTTTATTTAATATTTTATTCTTTTACCAATACGTTTATTTCAGGTAATATGTAAATGTGTTCGTAAATGTTGTATTTTTACTTTTGCATGCTGATTTCATTTAAAAGTTGTGTGTTTAAAGAAATAAATTTATTGTTCTAAGATAGATATTTTAGAAACCAAATGCATGAAACTTATAGGCAAATATTTAAAATTAAAATATATAAAATGTAAGAAAACATGCTCTGCTTAACAATACTAGTATATAAAGAGGTCCAAAGGGGTAAATATTATGTAAATATTGATTTTGCAATCGAATTTAAAGGGCAAATTGGACTAAAAGATGATTTGACACGCTAATTGATACAGGAAAGTATACTAACTCCCATCTTATACAGTAACTTTATTATAAAAATAAGTCCATATATTTATTTTCTTGGTAGTTTAATTAAAACTGTAGCAAAATATATAAAAGATCTACAGGACGATTTGTTGCTGATTAGTAAAATAAGATATACATAAAAAAGATCTGCAATATTTATATTTTTGAATTTAAAGTTCGTACACACTACAGAAGTTTCGACATCGAAATTCTTATAATAGAACCCTAATATGTTAAGGCCACTTTGACTCAGATCTATGAACATTTGAACCTAGTTATTTAGAGTGAATGACTACATTAACAAACATTTGTTCCAAGTAAAAAATTATTAATCACTATCACTCAATCCAATTCTTAGTTTCTCAAGAGAAGGTCTTCTGTCACTTTCAGTACCAAGATATAGGTAGCAGTTTACCCTGTTAATTGGCTGTTGGTTGTGTTAAAAGATGTGTATTTAATATTTCGCGCTAAACAAACTGCCATACACTTTGTTTTATTCTTATTGAGATCCAGCATATATTCTCAACTTATATCTGATATGTGCGACATTATTGCTTGTAAACCATCTAGGCTATCTGCAAAACTACTACGTTGTCAGCATATCTAATGTTGTTTAGACGTAATCCGTTAACTAAGACGCCTTCCTCTAGTTGTCCCAGTGCTTACTCAAAGATACCCACCGTGTAGATGTTAAATAGCACTGAAGATAGAATGCATCCTTAGGTTACTCCTTTATCTACGGAAAAGCTGCACAGATGTTGTATTGAACCAGGTTCTAAGGTTCTTTAACCAAGATGTTCTTGTTTTTCCTGGACTTTGTTTTTCAAATATTTTTGGATGCTGGATGGCTTAACGCAGAGCATATATCTGGATCAATGTCGCATAATATCAGCAATTGTAGAATTGTGTGAAGCATTTATAACAATCTACTCTCTAAAATTATATAACTAAATATCAAAAATTCTGGAAGTAATGAATCTAAGAAAATAAATATATTGACACAAATTTTTGCACAACAGAAGTAACATGTCTAGTTACTATTAAATCATCACCAAAATTAGAATTAATAACCAATAATTGTTTCGTTGCCGGTAGAAATCGATTATAACCAACAGAGAAACTAGATAGATACTATGTTTGCTTTAGCAACATCATTAAATTGCCGCAGTTTTAATACAATTTTGGAGCAATGACTACCACTGTGATAAATATAACGCTTGTATTCTCGTATTGATTCTAAGTAATTTTATCTAAATACAGATTACTATTAAGTGTTTTTAAATAAATTTGATGTCTAGAAGTTGGATTTTCTTGTAAATATCTATAAAAATTTATAAATCGGTAGTGTTCGCAAAAAATTAGTACCAAGGTATGTTTAATAGTAATAGATTTTGCTTTTATAAAAATTTAAAATGATATTTATTGTATTAACTTCATAATTTGCTTCACTGTATAAAACAATATTTAAAAGAAAATAAAATCTTATATAATTCAAATTAGCAATGGATGACATGTCCGATGAATCTTAAGGATTGTGTAGGTAATAATGATATGCTGCAGTAAATACACTATTTTTGTTTAATTGCTGTATTGCCAGATTCCAGTAAGAGCCTAAGAAGGTATCCATTGAATTCTGACAGTTAAAAATGTGGACGGGAGCGTCTGTTACCCCACAAATAGTACAGTCTACCGAGGCAGATTTGCCTATTCTATTTGTGAAGGTGCCAAAACTATCATGTTTGGTCAAAAACTGCGTCAGGAAGTAGTCTACCTTGACTTTCCACTATTATTCCCATTCTCTCTGCTACTCTACTATCGTTCTTACTCTGTCATTCTCATGTAAATTTACATCCATTCTCCTCGCATACATCATCGCTCCCTCTTTACACAACAAAACGATCGGTATGACCGCTCCAATGACATATAGAGCTTCATTCAAGACGGTCCTATATGCACTAGACACGCTGAGGAGCATTCGCCTTTGCGAAGTCTCCATCAGCTTAGCGTATTTCGCAGTGTTTAATACACTACACCACACAGGGGCAGCGTAGGTTACTACCGACTGGAAAACTCCATTTAGAACCTTTCTTTTGGTGCTTCCTGGGCCTTCAATGTTTGGCATCAACCGTATCAACGCTTCCACATTTCGGTTTGCTTTCTCTACTGTCTTTTGGATGTGTACTCCGAAAATACACTATTTAAATTAAAATTATGTCAAACTAGATAATAGGAACAACTGGATAATAGATAGAATATGTGTAATCCTCATCTGAAGATCTATTTTTCTTTAAAATAGTAAAGAGAGTTGGAGGAATAACTTAAAATAGCTTTATTACTAAGTATATTCACCCATACTTAATACTTCGTATTTAATTAGTTATTTAATTAGTAATATTGAAACCAATAGATATGTTGTTTATACTATGGTCAGAAAAAAATACATCAAATTCTTTATGAATTTAAAAATATTTTGATAATTAAATGAAAAGAAAGACAAAGTAAAAGTTAATAAATTGGGAGAAGTCTAGGTGTGGTATCTATTATAAAAAAAAGGTTAACTAGGTGAGTATAAAACGTCAAAAAATAGATAAAATATATCTGCGCCGAGTATATTTTAATGCATCTTCAACGCACAACGCAGGGATAAAATTTATCGAACACAAGCAATTGCTGATTTCTAACTTCGATTGCAAGAAAAATGCTGAGAAGGATATTCAAAGTAAGAATAGGAATTATGCAGTGCCAGAAACTGCTGAGGCTTGAACACAGCTGAAGCATATCTGTCATGAACACCCATAACCCTCTATCACTTAAAAAATTACGCCATCACTCGCGTGTTAGGTTTTATCTAACATATGGGTATAGGTCAAATAAATAAGGTTACTTATTGGTTAAGTTTATTGGCTATGCTCACAAAAAACGATAAAACAAAACTACAAAAAAACTACTAGGTAAACTAAAAAATATACACATTACCCTAGAACAAAACAAGTAAGGGGATTTATTCCAAAACAAATGTACGCATTACGAATAAAATTAGATTTCTTCCTCTTCTAGGCAGTGGTGGCAAGTAAAATTTGTTAAACTGGTGTGCTCTTTCCATATCGGCAACTTACATTTAGTACAATAATGTTGGGTAAACCTGTTCTTTCTTATAGGGCAAAAAGAACATCTTGGTTTTAGAGTTGGAATTGCCCCTTGAGAAACGGATGGCTTTTCTCCGGTTATTTTTTGAATCCTGAGTCTCAGCTGAAAAGACAGATTTGGGATATTGGAACGTCGTTAAAGATGGGATATAAAAAGTTGCTTGCAAAAAACAAAAAACGCTGCAAAAAACAGTAAACGGCCAGCGATTGTTAAATCGAGTCACCGAGTATTCTGCCTTCATTTTATCAACATAGTAGCTGTAAAAATATCTGGAGCTGTGCCATCTAATTTCCAGAGTTCATCAGTATTTAAATGTTGCGCTCTCTTCACCCCAGCAAGGAACAACAGTCCGATAAATGCTTGCATTTCCTCGTAGTCAATAGCAGGACTCATAAAAGCAGACGCATAAATCACTCTCATCTTATCCAGTTTTTTATTTGTATATTTTACAATATTACTGATCATACCATTCAAGAAAAACTATTTCCAGCATTCGAATGTGGTTTTGCCGCATTTTGCTTTTGCTTTTACCCCAGGTAAGTTTGTAACAATATTACAAGCTTTGGTTTTATTTTTGGGAGTGTGTTTCTTATGTTTCAACCATGGTGTTTTTTCTTTGCCATAAAATATTGGATAACCATCATCTTGGCCGCTTTCTTCCATGGCATCTTCAGGAGCACTGGGTAGATCTTATGTGGACTGCTCAGAATCTGTGTTGTGGATACTGTGTTCAGAAGAAACATCACTTAAGCCCTTATCAGAATCTAGTGGTTTCACATCGCTGTCTATCTCTTCATACCATTTTAGTAACCGGTTTTCCATTTTCTTGTCCATATTTACCTGTAATAAACTGAAATAGCGCTTATAACAACGGATGTTTAACAATCTTACCTGGGTGAAATAGGTATTTCACAAAAAATATTACCTTTTATCAACACACGCCAACACTCGCGTATTTAGATTTTTTCTAAAGCTCCGACAAACGCGATCACTCGCGTGTTAGATTAAAACTAACAACTGCTGTCGGCTATAAGATAATAGGTACTCCCACCATTATTTTAATATACTCTTATACGAGTCTTCATATGAGTATTCCTGGTTGCAGAACCCAAAAGAAGCAATATTTCGAAAATTATGGCGAAATATTTAAAAACGGCGCGAGTGATGGAGAGTTAAGATCAGTATTGATAAAGTTCCACACAGCAATATATGAGACAAATTTATATAAAATTAAAGTTTGAGTAGATAAATGTAATAAATTAAAGAAGAAAGACTTGAGAAGACGGTCGGCCAAAATCTTTCGTGCAGCTACAATTGCCATTTGGATCGCTAACCTTTGAATTGAGATGGCGCAACAAGAAAATCATAGTTTATGGTTTCAAAGACGAGCTGCAACTTCAAATTATATAAAATAGTGTATTCAATGCCGCTTTCTATATAATGAAGCAAATTTATTTGTTTAATATAACAAATATTAGTTTTTTTATTCGAGCAAATAATTGACTATGAAGAACAATTTTGGTACTGTCTTTTTACGAACACTTAA